ATAATCCTAACTACTTAACTTCTAAACTTTGAAAAGGCAAACAAGAGGTTCCAGCTGATTATTAATAAATAAAAAGAAGTCACATGGGAGCCATACCAGTTCAATGAGTCCAATCTCCTCCATGAAAGCAAACCAGAGTTCCTTCAAAAACTTGGACCAGAAAGCAAGATGATGACGCATCTTTACATTCATCCTAGTCATGATCCATTTGGTCCCCATTAAAAAAACCAAAACAAAAGAAAAGAAAGAGCAGCAGGTAGAATCTCAGGAACAAACTTCTGACCAAACATAAGCCTCCATGAACAGTAAAGCACATCAAGGGAGGAAAGAAACGAGAGACTAAAAGGAAAAAGTAGAGAGTAGCCTCCTTTCGACCGGGGAATCCATTTTAGATTTAATGAGAAGGTAATTGATTTGCATTTGGAAGATTACTTGATTGAGATGGGCTGATTGAGCCCATATATATATATATATATATATATATATAGATATAGATATAGATATTAAAACAAATCGGCCAAGAAATTTTTTTCTTTTTTATTTTTTTTATTTCATGTCATTTTTTTAAAGAACCAACAAGATGATCTCCTTCCCCAACAATCTCTTCTCCTAAAATTTATCCTAAACTACCTCCACCACTTTCTCCTAAATAATCTCTGATTCCTATTTATCTCCTAACTTCTCTAATTTACTATAAAATTTCTCTCCAAAATATCTCTAATTCCTATTTATCGTCTTTGCCACTTTTTATCTAAAGAAAGTTTAAATTAAAACTTTAAAAATTATTTAAATATTTTAACAAATTATATAATAACTTTAAAATATTTATTAAAAACACAAAAAATAATTATAATAGATTTAATAATATTCATATTATTAATAGTTTTATATTTGTACAAAATTCATCACGAAATTATGTACTAACAATATAAATTATGATTTTCCAGATTATTCAAATAATATAAATTTAACATTAAAAAATAAAATATTATTTCAATATTTCAATAACTAAATATCTCAAATAATAAAATATTAAAACTAGCTAAATAATTATGTAAAAATATTTAATTATTTTAATTTTTTAATATTTTAATAACTAAATATCTTAAATTCAAATTATGAGTATATTTTAATATTTTATATATTATTTAAATACTTAAATAACTAAATATTTTAAATAACGAAATATTTAATATAACTATATTTTTAATAGTTAAAATAACGAAATTATGCAATAAAATAAAAAATCATAACATAATATTCAAATAAATAATAATTTAATATTTTTACAAAATTATGTAATAATAGTATAAACTTATTTTATTTTTATTATCAATATATTTTCAAATATTATGATTTTTCGCTATAAATTTTTAATAATTATTGGATATTAAACTACTTCTATTTATTAGATATTAAAATATTAATTTAGATAAAATTAGGAGTGTTGATCACGGCCTGGTTTAGTTTGGTTGTAGGCTATTTGGCCAACCATGTTAGGGAGTTGGTTACCCTAGATCTACTAACCATTAGTGAAAACCAACTAAATCGGGTTGTATTGGGTTGATTTTCGGTTTGCTTAATTGATTTAAAAGATTATATTGAAAACTTAATTTTAAATTTTAAAAATTATATTAATATTATTAAAAATTAAATTTATAATATAAAATATTTGAGACTAAGAAATATGGGAATTTCCCCACTTTTCTGTATTAAAAATTATATTTAAAATACAAAAATATTAATATATATCTTTGATTGGGTCATTCGATTTTGGTCAATTTACAAATGACCACAGCGAAACTGATCCCAATTTCAACCGGAAATATTAGAAACTAAGCAATTCGAGTCAAGTTGGTCAGGTTGGTTGATTTCATCAGTTCGATGAACAAACTTAACTAAAATAGATCATTGTTATTTTTGTATTGTAAAAGGTTATTAAAAGTATTATAAAATATAAATAATTAATCATTTTTTAAAAAGTTAGAAATATAAAACAATTGTATACTCTTATGTGTTTTATTGTTTAGCTTTCTTTAACAAATCATGTGCATTGCATGGGTCCCTGCTAGTATTGTTTATAAGATGAGTTGTGAGACCAATTGAGCATAATGTAGAAATAAGTGATTTGCTAACAACTAGTTGCTCTCCAACATGGTGCCAATATTTCAGCTTGGAATTGAGGTTCAGGTGATGGTGATCAAGTTGCTATTGTGGCTGTCATCGCTGTCAAAGTCGTCACCGACACAGTGGCACAACCACCAGCATCAGAATTAACAGAATGAACTTGGACTTCATCTTCTTTATAACTGCTCGAGCAGTTGGAATGCCTAGAGGCTAGGGAAGAAGACTAGCTTGAGAGATGAGAGATCTTTTTTTCTCCTTAAAACATAGGGAGGATGTAAAAGAGATGAAAGGAGAAGGTAATGGTTTATTCCTATAGTCTGTTTGGTTTAGACAGGAATAGGAATGAAAATTAAAATTAGATGGAATGAGATTTCACTCCCAAGAAAGGAGAAGGTAATGGCCATTCTCTCAAATGGGAGAATACCATTCCACCAAGAACGGAAATGAGATTCAGATTCTATCCAACCAAACAGTTGAAATTAAAATGATCTATTCCAATTACAGACCTCTATTCCCACAAACCAAACAGCCCCAAAGTAATTATAGGGGGAAGATTTAGAGGAAAGACAATTAGCCATTGCAGTTAGTTTGTTAGTGTATGACATGTTAATACCCTTTTATTATCTCAATTAATACTGATTATGCTTAAGCATACGTGTCTTTTGTGGAGAAAAGATTGATATAAAATTATAAACCACAAAACAAGTCCAACTATTAAAAGATGGGAAAATTTCTTAAACTACCCTTACGATTTAGTTAATTGACTAATTTATCTTACTGTTTATATATTGTCTTAAAACATGGTTTCAAAACTGGACTGGACCGGACGGTCGGATCAAAAAAATTGGGAAAACCGGTTTTGCTTTTCGCCAAAACCAGATTTTGGCCAAAAAACACTAATTTGTTCAGCAAACTGCTGACCCGGGCAGTTGAACTGTTTGAACCGCTCAATGGTTTTGACCATTTTTTATTTTTTTATCAGAACGGGCCGACTGTTCAGATCGAATGGTCGAACTGTTCAGTTCAAACAATTGGACCGTTCTAACCCAAGAACCAGACCCCTAACCGGTTTGTTCCTCGGGTCGGTTTTAAAAACCTTGTCTTAAAAGTATCCTTACTGCTTTTGACAATTGTTAAAACCTCCCTTGCCATTAACTGGTCTTAAAGTATTCTTAAAGTATCCTTGCTCCGCTCCATGTAAAGTCAAGTGACTGGTTTTTTTTTTTTTTTTTGTTTCCTAAAATTCCTTATTGTTTCCTGTCTCCGCTCTAGCTATGTCGGATCCTGACCAGCTTCTCCTCCGTGATCGCCGCGCCCCTCTTTGGATTCAACGTATGAATCCAAAACCCTTCTCTCTTTTTCACTTTTTCGTTTGTTGGCTTTCTTTATTGCGCCAATGAAAGAGATAGATGAGTGGTATGACAGAGCTCAACAAAGGAATCAACAAGAGTCTTGTCTAATTCTTGATGGTCGCTACAGAAGGGAAGCAGCAATAATACTCGTCGTTGCAAGAGAAGTAGGTAAGCACGGACAGCCTAATGTCATCGTTTCTTTACCTCTATTGCAGAGTGATGATTCACTGAAACCCCTTGGTTTAGCTGGAACCCGAATTTGGTCACCAGTGTCATCGCCTAGCTAGATAAGCACGGACAGCCTGATGTCTTCATTTCTTTACCTCTGTTGCAGATTGATGAATCACTGAAACCCCTTGATTCAATTGGAACCCGAATCCGGTCGCCAATGT